AAACATTTTAACGTGGAGTGATAATATAGTTAGAATAAAGTGAGCTTGACATAGAATGAAGTTTTAAAATGTGGCTAGTTTTGAAACCAATTAATTCCCTCTCCATTCAAGACCCCAGCAGCCTTACAAGTAATAAAACTGTCAGGAGATCCATTAATGACAAAGCATACCCACAATCAATAAAGTTCTAAAATGAACAAACAATGACACAATGTCATGAGTAATTAATGAAACTATGCAGTTTTCACCATCCAGAAAATGTGCCGACCATGATTAATTGGAAAACTTCAGCTCCCATGAGAATCGTCCTCATTTCATTTCTGCATGGATTTTTCATATATATACATTCTTACAGAAATTAATTAATATTTCCATATATACTTAGCTGTTACCTAACTGAATTCTGTGAGAATTTGACTCTTTCTGGTTTTGCAATGGCACAGCATGATGATCATCTCTCTGTTACCTTGACCATTGTCGGTGCAAAGGTGGAACCCCAGATCACATGTCCCGTTTCCTCCACCATTCTCGCCTTGAAGCAGAGGCTTTACACCCTCCTGGGAGTGGATGTTGCAAGGCAAACTCTCATCTTCGACGCAGAAGAGCTGCTGGACGATCACCACATCAAGGACTACAATATCCAGCAATTTTCTGAAGTTGCTCTTCTCGTGTCACCATACCCCAACGATGACAAATTCACTATTCAGGTCATGTCCTCCGCTGACTGCTCTGAAAATGTCAAGGTGAGAGAAAGAATGTCAGTGGCAGAACTGAAGGAGAAAGTTGAGAGGCGTTTTGGTCGTGGAGAGTGCACTGCTTTGACTCGACTTGGGATGGTCATGGAAGATGGGGATCCACTCTCTAAATACTATGTCAATCCGAATTCGCTGGTGGAAGTTAACTTTAACATCGACCCTCGTTGATATTTAGCTTTATAATTAGGAATAATATTAATACATATTATGATTGATATACATCAATAATGTAGAAGTAGTGGATGTCTAAATGATGATAGTAATTAGTTTATAATAATAATATCAATAAGGTAGTTGAGTTTCTGTGCTGGATTATGTAGTAAAGCCTAAGAAAATTATGACATTATCAATTTGAAAATTATAATGAATCATATAAAGCATCAAATTGTTAAGGGTTATTGTAATTTCAAGATTACTCTGTGACTTGTTTTTAGTACTAGATCAAAATGGTGAATTTGATTCGGACTGTGTGTTTCTTGGTTTCTTGTTTTTGGAATAGTAATGAGGTTTAAGAGGTAGGGTTCGATATCCAGGATTCAGATATCAAAGAATGGAGGTGTCTGGTTCCTGGGTTTTTGCAGGAAAAATGTGTTTTGGTGTTGGAAGTTGAAGAAGACGAAGGTGTTCAGGGCTTGGGCTTTTACCTCTAGAATGGATCTGGAACCGGATTTCAAATCTGGTTCGGACCAATCTATTATCGTTAAGCTGCGGGTTGGGTTCGGTGGAAAACGGAGATAAAAGGCCCAATCCACTGTCACTATTTTTAGTAAGTTCACCCTATATGCATAAAAAAAACAGTTTTTTTTTATTATATAATTTATAATTAAAAATATTTTAAATAAAAAAATATTTTATAATTTAAACTGTTTTGAATTATAAAATAAAAATTATTATATAAAGAACTTCCTTTTAATATTGAAAATAGATATGGTTATGGTCACTAATAATAATATTATGTGGTTACTAAAA